AAACGCTCAAGCACACATTTATTAGTTGCTGGTATAAAGTGAATTGAAACAAAATCAAAAGAGTACCTTACATTTAAGTAATAATTTAGTTTAACTCAAAATTACACTTGACTTTGCTATCATTTTAAGCAAAATTGATTATTACTAATTGTTCCGAGTTAAGACAAAAGATGTACAAATATACAGCACACAAGAAGGAGGAACATGTATTATAAGGCTTCAATGAGACTTGGCCAGCGAAGAACAGTTTAAGCCATTTTTGTGGATAGTAAACACCTGGATTGCACGCCATGTAGATTTATTGGATATAACTCGAGTGATCGAGGTATAGGTAATCGAAAGTAGCTTGGCAAGCGCTCTTGGCTCATGCAAAGTTGCTTACAATTAAATATTGGAAATAAATTTGTTTTACCAGAGACACAACGACTACATTTGTTTGGCTTTTGTTTTGGTTGTTTTCTAGACTTGCTCTGACTCCGATTAATTGATTCAGACGTATTCTTATAGCGAATTTGAACGACTTACTCAATATTGTGCCATCTGACCTTGCCTTAAAGTGTTCTTTCATTCTCAAAACGTTGGCTACGCACATTTCAAGTTATTCAAGAATGCATTTTGTCACTTAACTAATGAGGTCATCGCAGTCTGGTTAGACTGACCCATTCTATATTTCAGGGTGCTTTTTAAGTCTTACAGCCATACTAAAAGCTTATAAGATTTTTTTAATGGTTAGTATTCCTTAAGAAAGATATACTAACCCGATTTCCTCGACTTTGACTAAATCTTACATACCAGGATATTAAGAATTTCTGCACTTTTGATTTTCATATTGTGTAGGAATAAAATAGCCTTAAGAATCTATCCACCATGTTCACTATGTATATATTTATATACTGTGTATTCACTATACCCACTATCTCTACTATATTCAGCCCCAGGTGACCTCACACCAAAGTTATATATGGTGGTTACGCTCCTAATAATTTGTAAAATCGAGGTCGAACCAACACTTTAAAGCTAAAGGAGACTGCGGCCAAACAGAAGGCCCAACCATCTTGGTCTTCGTATCTACAATATAGAGTGGTGTTTTCCAGATTATAAAAAGTTATTATTAAAAGTGCAACATAAACTGTAGCATACTTTTTCATATTTTAACTTTCACATATTTATAAATGTGTATATTTATTTATTTATTTAATTATTTTCTTGTATCAGGTATCATCATATAGTTTTATGATTAAACTCGGCCTTCTGATTACCGGACAGGAATTTATTCCAGTTTCTGGGCCTTTGCTTCACCTTAGCGTGAGTAATGTTATTCAACTGCTTATAATTCTATTAGCTACTGACAAATCGCTTATCCATGTATATGTATAATAATAAGTAAGTATGTATGCATGCATTTATCCATTTAGATATTTATGTATTTATGCCTATTTAGAGACACTAAGTTATTTGCGTTTCGTACTTGCATGCATGAATGAAAATATATGCATATGTACGTTGTAAGTTACAAATTCAACTATTAACTTATATGTATAAATACATTCTACTCAACACCTTTCATTTATTTTGATCGGATAACTTTTCAATTGAACCATGTTTTATTTACTTCCGCTAACAATAAACCGAGACCCTTATACTTGCCCTCAAATTTGAAGAATTGTTGGGCGCCATAGTATCTAATCAGAATTTAAAATGTATTTAATTAAGGTATTCCATTTACTTGATGGGTAATAGTTCGGGAGCATACTGAAGTATCACGAGTGAATTTATTGTAGCGTCTTTATTCAACTTGTAGGGCTTCTTTGTCGATACGAAGTCTAACACAGCACTGATAAGATCAGCGCAGATGGTTACAGGATAATTAAATTGGCACTCATTGGCAAACTCATTAATATGTTAAACAGGGATAAATTTGTGATAACTGAATACAAAAGTTTGAATTTATTTTAAATTATGATTAGCAAGTTTTCCCTAACACACCTAAGCTTTTAGTTGGCCTAGCTATTGGTATTAACAATCGTTGAGCTTACTTCCATTTCGAGTGAAAGTGTTGGATGAAGAGATTCAAAGGTCTGTTCCACCAGAAGACGACGGCGGATTCCTCTTGACCAACTGTCGATTGGCTTCATTGTAAGATTCATGCTGACGCTGCTTCAGAGTTGTTCTCCTTCGATTCCGGTGAAAAAGAATCGATTCTCTTTATCCAGCGCTTTTACTCGAAATGGAAGTAAGCTCGGCAATTATGAAACAAGAGCTTCCTCGAAACCCAACTTTTCTTGGTATTAACAAGCCCACTAACAGTGAAGAACCGATATTTTCTAATTTCTTGTCAAATTATTTCCAGACCACGTAAGCGTGCCACTTCTATGAATATCTATGCTCCGCAAATCTTTAGGTACCAATCATATGATTACATTGGTGACAAGTATCATTGATTGGGGAGGATATAGAAGCCCACAAGTTATTAACTTAGCATAACGAGAAACGTTTGCTTACTTTTAGGGTCTGCTTGACCCTCCGCATCCCTTTACCAAAGTTTATGCTATTTAAGTTACTAGTAGACCTATATAATATTAGGCAAAAATGGTTCTAAAGGAATATAAAACAGTTTCCCGGATAGTCTTAGTATGAAATTACTGTTGCAACGTGTATCCTAAAATAAGATGGATTTGGGTCGATGCATTTTTTTCACCTTTTGCACTTCACGGCTGACTTACAGGGCAACGGAGTTTCCATATTCTGGTGTCCACCTATCAATAGAGTCATCCTGTATGCCGACTCAGACGGCTTCCAGAACGAAATAGCTGTTCGGCTGTCCGAGCGCGATACTTGGTCCACCGATGCTGACTGCCGTGGGGTCGGAGGCAATGCCGACGACTCGTTGATGACTTCTGTTGTACCATCATCCACAAAGCCGTACGCTTCCAATGGGGCGAGAGAAGAGGAGGACAATAGCAGTTTTGCCGAGGGCATGATCAAAGCGGGCCCTAGTCGTGTGTCCCGAAAGCAGTTGATGCAAGTCCTTGGCAACGTTTCAAGAGTTGGCGTGCGTCTACGCTTGTTGCAGGGTCAAGATAGTCTTCAATTGACCAACTTGGAGCTAGAGCACGCCGTTGCCACGCAGGACCAGAGGGACTGGGTCGGTGAGGTTGAGCAGTGCATCTGCCCAACTGGATATGAAGGACTCTCTTGCGAGGTGGGAAGTTGGTAGAATTTGAAATTTTGGGAAGCTGTACTAGTCTTCCGAGAACGTTTATGATCAACAAGTTTGCCCAAGCTATGAATGATATAGAGGGTCGTATTTTTACCATCACCTGCAATTATACTGGAATCCTGGAAGGGGGGCTTATCCACATTTTAGTTAGCGATATGCCAACAATAATCTCAACTTTACCTCTTAACTAGCATAATTGCTGCCATTTTAGCACGAATGGGCTGGACCAGTGAGGCCATTAAGAAAATGAGACAATTTTTCCAGCACTCATTATCCTTTAATGATGCCCACAACAG